AGGAAGGAAGGAAGGAAGGAAGGAAGGAAGGAAGGAAGGAAGGAAGGAAGGAAGGAAGGAAGGAAGGAAGGAATCCATCCATCCATCCATCCATCCTCCAGGATAATTATATTTAGCATGTTAATGTTTTCTGACATGAGTTTGTGCATAAACTCATGCTCTCACAAAAATTTAACTAATGTATCTATAGATTCTGGGGAAGAAAGCTTCCACGTTTTTAGATTTAGACCGGAGCGGATTTTCTCCTACATGAAATTAGATGCCATTTACGAACAGATGTCAAAACATAAATGTATGTCAAGTGAGCTCACTAAATCTTGACCACCACTTTAACTTTACTGCTTTTAGTTTTTAAAAACATTGTTCTGCCCCTTTTTTTACTACCACAATAACCTTCTTTCAAGATCAAAAGCTTTAGATCAAAGCCAAGCTCAAACTCTTTGCTTTAAATAGAAGCAACATTGCCATGAAATACATTACTCAAAGAAAAATACCTTAAAGGCGATATTATGATAGAAAAAACGTTTTTTCCCCCCAGATCTTTATTTTTACATTCAGGCTAATCTATCTGTAAATACCTATGAAAACTGCTTTTAATTATTTTCCACTTTTATATGCAAAAATTATTAGAAAAATATTTGTTAACACAAAGGAGGCATCTGTTTAGCATACATGTACATTTACACCAAGAGACACCATTCTGCAACTGATACACTGATTTGCATAATATAATATACATGCATTCATGTATATCAAATAACTACATATCACCAGCATCTTTTAATGGTCTCCCAGATATATGAGATGATGGGACAGGGGTCAAGTTATAGCTTCCACCTTACGGAAATTAGACTAACACCTTCATTGTTTGCGTTCCAGAAGTTATTAAAAACAAAGGTGTTCCTGAAAGTCATTAAATAGTCACCATTGTGCCTATTGTATTATGGAAGATTTGTCTTTATCTTGACTTTAGGATTTTTTTTTAAATCATGTTTTATGTTTTTATGATGTAAACTGCTGACAGTAATTTTTGAGTTCAGCAATATAAAAATACAATGAATATATTGTATCATGTTGTCTATTGATATTCATGAGATAGTGCTGCACATTCAGATGACTTAGACCTGATTATTTTGATATAAATGAGTATGACACAGTAGACTGCAGAACTAGGGAATGGGAGATCTAGCTTTAAATTAATAAAGTTTGCTGGGTAATTCTGACCTGTCCTTTTCTTTCAGCCCAATCTATTTTACAGAACTGTTGCCAAGTTACAGTTAGAGATGACATAGTATGTATACCACCTTGAACTCTGAAAGGGAAGGAGGATAAAAATTTAACAAATAAGAATGAAAAACAACAATTGTTGCATTTCATGTCAGTCTTCCACCAGTAATTCAGGATATAAGAACATATTAGGAGACTTGATCAGTCCCACACCTGTCTTTGACACAGTGGCCAATAAAAGATGTCTGAAAAGCTTACAATGGGTCTTCCACCATGACTCCTGGTATACTGTCTTTGATCCCGGATGCATCATATACAGCTATCAGAACTAGTAGCTATTGAATGAACTTCTGAGTGATGTTCTTTGAGGTGGATTAAATTGAACAGTAATTACTAACCCAGAATTACTCTACAGCCCTCATGATTCAAAAGGATTTGAATCCAGAAAATATGGTACACAAGCCCCAATTTGCCATTGTATTAGATAAGTTCTTATGGGTTAACACATTCTTATTGCAGTATACCCACAAATAAAGCATAATAGAAATAACTTTTATATCATTGCTTTAATGCAAGGCTTTCCAAAAGTATCACCAGACGGTAGAATTTATGGCTACAAAGTAACGAAAGTCAATTGAAAAATTAAACAAGAAGAATTCATGTGCATGAATGTTTATCAGTTGGCCACTAGATTCAAATGCTGATTTGAAAATGACACCTAACTAAGAAAACAGATGTATATGTATATATAGCATGTTAAAGGTATGCTGTAGATATAATATATTCATTAAGCATATGTAATATTCAGAATATATATGAAGTAGAACCAGTTTTCAACCACAGGATGCTAAACTGTTGAATCCTGAAGATACAGATTCATCCTTCACCAAGCCAACTCAACCTTACAGAATAAAGAAGACCTTTTTATGTACAAAATATATATACAACTGTATGACAGCTACTCCTCTATGCCACTATCTCTCCAGGCAATTGGTTCTATTGTTGAAATTCTGTTATGCTCAATCAGAATCTGCTTTCCTATAACTTAAATAATTCTTCTGCATCCTGCACTCTGGAATGAGAGAGACCAGATCTTAGTCTTCTTTGTGACATCCTTTCAGGTACAGGTAGTCCTCACTTAACATACACTCATTCAGCGATCCTTCAAAGTTACAATGGTGCTGAACGAGGGGTACTTACACGGGTCCTTGTAGTTGCGGCTGTTGCAGCATCCCCACGGTCACGTGATTGCGATTCAGGCACTCAGCAACTAGCTCAAAATTATGTTGCAGCATCTGATGGTCACATGATTGCCATTTGCAACCTTTACTGCCAACTTCTGAGAAGCAAAGTCAATGGGGAATCTGGCAGGAGGCCACAAATGGCAATCACATGACCGCAGAATGCTGTGACCATGCAGGATTTGCCTAAAGATGGCAACTGGAACTGCTGGAATTGCCATTGTAAGTGGGCATGGTGACATCGCGCCTTACAACCGTGTCACTTAGTGACGGTGTTCCCGGTCCCAATTACTATTGGTAAGTGAGGACTACCTGTATTTGAGGAGTGCTATCATATTCCCCCTCAGGGTTTTTCTCAAAATTAAACATACCCGACTCCTTTTACCTTCTTAGATTTCTAGTCTTCTAATC